CTCTGTCCTTTCCCCATTGGCCACCGTGGTCCGGGGCGAACTCTTGAGCCATTCACCAGCGGCTGCCAGCCGGCAGCTTCTGAAAATGGCCCTTGCGCCCCTGAAAGAGGCAGGCGTTAGATCCGTTCTTGCCGTGAGCCGAGCCCTGCAGGGCTGAGCGCGCCGCCGTGCTCTTTCACCCGCCAAGTGCCGGAGGTTGCCCCATATCAGAGCGGGGGGCGGGAGGGAAGAGACACCCTCTCTCTCTTTTACCTACCCACCAACCCTTTCCAAAAATCCCCTCGAAAAGCCCAGCGTTCAGGGCACGTTCCTGCTGCAGCCGCCCGAGACCTGCGCTGGAGCTGAAATGTATTTTCAATACAGCGATCTGACGTTCCTGAAAAGGGCCGTAGCTTTAAAGTCCTTCCCCGCTCCAACAGCCAGTGTCTCTGAGCGCCCCAGCGCTGGTGCCGCCGCACCCTGCATGCCGAGGGAGCAGGAACGGGCAGACAGGCACATGCAACCAGCACCCTCCTTACCTTATAGAAGGTGATGACATCCAGGGGCAGGGAGCCCTTGGTATGCAAAGCGCTGCTGCTCTGCCAGGCGAAGGAAAGCCACCAAAGCAGCAGGGAGGAGACCGACACAGCCCTGCTAACAAAAGCCATGTTGAGAAGGATCGAGATGGAGAGGACTTGCTTTGCGCGGTTCACGTGACCTGATCAGTTGTAACTGGCTCCCCCCAAAGGAGAAGGGAAGCGTCGGAGGAACTGCAACTCTAGAGCCAAATGCGAACACTCAGCCCCCAACCCCCCGGGGAACGGAACAACTGAGAAAAGGGGCGGGCTGGGGCTGCCAATGCACCACAGAGCAAACTCCTCATGATGCGCTGTTCTGAAAAGCCAGCACCTCCATTGCACAACCCAGTTACTAGTTGTCCTTCCCCTTTCTGCTTTGGTCCATTGGTCGTTGGCTCTTTCTCGCTGGCCAAGGGCACAAGCTCCATGAAGCCACCCCGTCCCCCTTGTTAAAAATTAATTCGTAAGCCTAATCTTTGTCGTCGAGCTGGGCATGTGTGAGGACATGCTCAGTCCCAGAGCAGGGGCTATTCAAGGGTAACAGCGGTTTAGCCAGCTGCAAAATCTCTTCATTACATTTGTGGACGATCTGCTTGGTCCCTTGAAATCTCTCTCTTACTGAATAGATTTGGAACGGCCCCCCATCAATCTAGAGTAGTTCTGAGTTATTGTTTGGGTAATGAAAGGACCACACCGATCTGTGATCCATTCCACTACAGGAGAAGGCATTCCACAGAGCTAGGAGCCTCCTCAGTGGGTGTGTGTGAGAGATATCACCTGCCCCCCAGCTATAACTCAAACAGTGGTTATAGCTTAATTACAAGTGAGGGCAGGGCTGGCTCCCTGGTAGGGAATTTTAGCAAGACACCCCCCTCCCATGCACCAAAACAATAAAACCCCCCAATAAACCACCGTCACCCAGTGCTTGCCCTACCACTGGTTGGGCTGCACCAGGAAGACAAGGCTGCAGCGTCTTTGGGCATTTTTATGATGTTAATTAAAGCGGTGCCTTAGCTGACATGATAAAAACAGCATCGTGTCAGAATTTTGTCTAGACCCAGGCTCCCCACCTGTGCAGCTGAGCTGGGGATAAATACCAGTGGGAATTTTTTTGCTAAAATTCTCTAGTGTAGAAAAAACAAAACAAAACCCCAAAACCTTAGAACAGCCATTCCTAAATTATGGTACTGAGACCAGCATAGAGAAAGTGCTTGCTGATGTGTGGAGAGCGGTCTGGTTACCTGATGCAGGCTCCTCTCCTACTTTCCAGCTAGTACATTGTATTATAAATAGCTAACATAAATAATGTATTGCTTTTCTATATAAGCAATTGCAGTAGTTGCCACAGGACCATGAAACAATTGTGAATGGAAGAGTGGATCTGTGTAATGGCAAATAGGAGAACAGTATAAGACCCCTCTTGTTAAGATGGGAGGTCTACACTGAGAAATGAGAGAACCTTTGCCTGCACCTGATGCTTACACTGTGGGGTGAAGAGTACTTAACTGACATGCACACACAATGCAATGCCACTACAGGTGATCTTATTTAAGTTGAGCCACATTTCAGAAATGGCCCTTGAGCTACTTAGATAATTAGGGTTGTTCTGTTCTGTGTGCATAAAGTGACCAGATAGCAAATGTGAATCTTTTTTTTTTTTTTTTTTTTACAGGGGTGGGTATAGTTGCGTATGTAAGACAAAGCCCTTAATATCAGGAGGATCCCAATATCAGGCCACCTGGTCACCCTCTGTGTACATAATTCAGGAACCTTTCTTTGCACTACCCAGTTAAACGTTTCTAACCCTTTCGTAGTGCAGCTTTACAGTCACTACACACACACACAGAAAAGGAGGAGGGGGGAGATAAAGGGGAGCATATTGTTAATGGATTTCTGTGTTCTTCTCCACAAATATTGTAGCATTTAAAACAAAAAGAAGCGGCAGCGGGTCAGCAAGGAATTAATGTGCAGAAGTTTCTGTTAAACGGGTTTCTCTTTCAAGTGGTACATTTATGAACATGAACAAGGAGAAAAGTTTAACAAGCGTAACTGTCACCTCAAATATGTCCTTTTAGCAGAGCAAATGGTTCACCAGAGGATAGTAACTAATTAACCATACCTGATCCCCTCCACATCAGGGTTGACTTGCATCCAGAGGCATGGGGTTTAGGGGAAACTGGTCATGCCGCTGCTGGTACAGTAACTAGAGTCTGGCAACTTTCAACATCACTATGTTCACATAACATTTAAGAGAGTAAATGGAGATAGTAAACTCAAGATTAAGTTCTGAGTGTGCCAGGGTCAGATCTCTGTAAGGAAAGAGAGAAAGCAGTGCAAGACATGGCTTGAGGAAACAAGGACATTTTGCTTCTATCAGTGTATTGGGATCTGGAGTGGACAGGGCACTGCCAGCCATATGGGGGGCAGTGATACCAATTCCCAGATGCCACATATGGTTGTTCAAACTGTCCCTGACTGCCAGGGCTACTCGATCATAATTCCACTGGCTGCATCAAACATACTGCAAGTTCCTACTTCTTCCTTTATTTGTCTTTAAAAACTTGGGAGGGGTGCGAGTAATGCATAAACTGACAATGGAAGTTTCTTCAACACACTGCCATATGAACATGCCACAGAACATCTGCTTCCCAATTCCACTCCTGCCAGCAAGCCATTCCCTTATTTCGCACAAAGCTTGTTTTCCCTCCCCACGGTTCTGTTTTCAGGCAACTTTTACTCCCCTTCATGCAATAAAGGGAGCATCTGGCTCGGAGTTTGATAGGAGATTAGCATTATAAAGCGAAATGGTGAAGAGAAGGACTTCAACTATTTCCAAAGATCCAGACAGAAAATGAAAGGCAGCAAAACTAATTTATAACGAAACTGACTTTTATATAAATTATAAACCCATCCAGTTTAAAGCAGATCGCTTGTGGTTGTGTCACTTAATTCCGTAGAAGGCTGAAGCATACATAACTTCCACAGTCATAAATTACAACAAATAATCAGGAAGAGAAAGTTCAGATAAGGCTGCAGATGTAACAAAAGAACCCTTTTATATTAATGAAGGTTAAAATAAATCACGATTTAACAATGATTGCAAAATATAAATGCAATTTTTGAACAGTTAAAACCGCTAAAAAGATACAAAAACAATGGGCAATACAGGTAGGCATTGCAAATTTTTCTTTATGCAGAGAAAGGTAGATGGAGAACTCTTCACCTTTATCCACATCAGACAAATGATTTAAAGCAAAGAAATCAGTTGAGGAGGAAATCTGTAGAAGGATCTTGGCTCATGATCCCAGTAGTATAAAAGCAATAATTTTCAGTCTGTAAACAGTAGTCTTGGTAGCTTTTCTAAACACATGGTTCATTTAACCACAAAAAGGATAACAGCAGCAATGGGTTATACCCTGGATTTCCTATCAAATCCCAGTGAAGGTGTATGTGCTGGAGGGGGAAAATGCTCTTTACTTTAGTAAGAAATATATATTTAACTGTACACAATTTATAGGGATTGAGAAGATTCCCAAAGGCTCAGTAATTAGTTAACCATTTCTGCATACCCATCTAGTTGCCTCTTTTATAGAGAAACCCTGGAGTTTTAAGAGCATCTGATTTTCATGCTAGAGAATTAGTATAGAAACATCTACTGTGTAACAAAAGAATCATACTGTTTGACATTAGGCTTAGGGTCAATTGGGTGGCTGCAAGTGGAAATGGGAAAACAGCTGTACCCTGGGAAAAACTGAACATTCCTCCTGAACTGGTATTGAGCAAGGTTTAAATGCTAGTGCAGACTGAACACAAGCATGTTCAATGCCATTTCTGAAAGCGTGACTGATGCTTGGTTCCACCCACTCTCAGAACTCAAGCCAGCTGACTAAAATTAACACAGCCAGATGTATAACCCACTGGTTTCAATCTTGTTCAAAGGGAACTGATGCTGAAAAACATGTTTAGCAAGTTCTGCTTTCTAGCGTACACAAGGCTTTAAGGCTTGTAGTCTAAACTTACTTCACTAAACTTTTCTACTGTTCAGCTCCGCTGGTAGTAGCAACGATGGACAGGAGCTCCAGCTTAGACTACTGCACTGTCTGGTCTTGTTCAGAGCTCTCTGCAACCTGGTACTTAAAAGTGTCAGTGTTTGCCTGGAGCCCTGTCTACACTAGCCAGTCCTACTGGTGTTTGCAAGGTGTGAATATTTTAGCCCAAAAGCTTAGTGCAGACTTCACCTCAGTGCCACTGTGCAATCTTCGTGATGGGACTGCTTTCACTTAAACTATGCATTTCAAATGATCAACTTCAGTCATGAGTCTTGTTTTAATGTAAATAGCACACTTGTCTTTCCAAAAGTATTTCCATACAAACATATACGATAGTTTGCTCAGGAAAGATGTTTCACTATAAAACAGAGTTAATACATTTTGGTATTGTTTTCCCCCGGCCCAAAGCACTTACCAGACACTGCATCTACATCATAAGCACATCCATCACAATTCAAACAACTTGTAGGAAGTCCTCTCTCTCTTTTAGGAAGGGGCAAAGTAAAACTAAATCCAGCAAGAGCAGCAACTTGAAATTTTACACAGGGCTTTTAAAAAAATACTCTCATCAACACTCTAGCATTTCTAACAAAATGTATTCAGAAGAGATAACAACACTAGGATTGTCAGCTCTCTTAAAACTTTAAATATAGATTTCAGATTATACTTGCTTTTCTTTAATTAGAAGATAAGAAATCTGTAAGAGTCTCAAGTGTCCCTCACATCCTAGGTGCAACATGTTCGTATTTGTGCCTATTTGTTTTATAGTGTGTCTGTATTACTCTTTAAATTAAAATAGCAGAAATGCAGATTTTATGGGATCAGATGATGTAATTACATTTCTCTAACAGAATTACTAATGTGTCTATACTTGGATAATCATAAAAGATCAGTTACAAAAGGAAACAGTTACAAACAAAAGAGTAACATTCTCAGCCTCATACCACACTGGAAGCAAAAATTACTTCTGCCAACTTACAGCCATAGAAAGTTGACAGGACTCAATTCCATTAAAAATTATTTAAGTACTTGGTCTTAAAATTTCAAGCCCCTTTTAAAGTCACAATGATTACTGTTTTACGGGAAACTGACATGAGATCAGAGTCAGTGGTGTCAGACTTCACTGCAGATATTATGTACATTGCCTCCAGCTTTTTGCTGAAACAGTGATCAGGCTTGTAATTTTTTGAACCACCTTTCCACTAGAAACAATCTGTATGTAAACTAACACCACCCCCTTCCTCCAACAGTCGCTGGGGTTCAATCTCAGAGGAAACTGCATCGGTACTAAGCATGACTTACTCTGACCCTCTTCAGTTAATGATGAGCATCACCGGAAGGCAGTATATGCCTAAATAAAAGATGTGCTTCCAATATAACGTCATCTCTCTCTGCTGGGCCCACATGATATCAATTCTTTTTTTCAGCAGGGCCACGTGGCTGGTCAATAGAATAGACAGCTCCAGAACTAACTTGCTTCAGTGGAAGAGGCCACACAATATGCTCCAAGGTTGAATGTGGGCATCTACAATTTCCGCTTTTCTAAGGCAAGGACCATATAAAACCTATAAACACTGTATGGTAGATGAAAATACAACTCCTTTGAGATATATGCTTTATACTGGATTTCTATTGCTGCTTCTAAAGATTATCTCCAGTTGTCTCTGGAGACCAAAAGGGAAGAAAATTGAATTTTTCCTGTTGCAATATGCTTATGAACATGTATAAAAAGTGGTCAAACCCTGATGGAGGGTCCCTGCTTCTGGTTTATGTACAATAATTTAATCAGCTGAATATATCTTTAATACCTAAAAAAAATATTTATGATTAAAGTCCTTCATGCATTTATGAGGAAGTTCTGGATTAAAGTGATGGTATGTTGGATGTTGCTTCTGCCTGGGATTATGGTGTCACTCTGTTGTGAAGTCTTTATGCCTGGGGTGCATTTCTTAAATCTTTAGTTTTTTTATGGTATCAAGTCTCTTTTTCAGCAGCTCCCCAATTTCCTGAATTGAGTGCTGGTAACTGCTCTGGACCTTTCCTTGCACAGTCTTTGTAAACTTTTTTTCTTCCTGCAAATCAAGAAAACACAGTCATTCACCCTGCAGGCTAAAGACCATTTTGTATTTTAAATTCCTCTGTAAAATTCCCCACGCCCTCTTTGCAAATATTGAAATGGTGAAAAAAGTCCAGTTTGAAGTCTCAATACATCATAAGGGGGTTGTGGTAATAGTTTGAATTTACAAAAAAGATCGGAAAGCTCGTCAATCCAGAATAAAAACCCCACAAGCAGTAATTCTTTTTAAACTTAATGTTAATTTTACCTATCACAGGATTATTAGCACATCAAAATTTCTTGACACTTGCAGGAAACATCCTTGTATAATTAATTTAATGCCAAAAGATGGCTTCCCTTAACCCCAAGTCAGTTGCAAGACAGACATTTTAATCCAGAAATAATTTATTAAAGCAGGAAGCCTCTTAAATACAAAACAAATTGCTGAAATCGAAGTTTTCATAAGACTAAGGCTCCGTCTACAAAATACTCCACTGGGGGTGGTGTGTAGGGCATGTGTAGCTAGATACTGCAGTGAAAAGCAAGCTGTGTCCGTGCTGTAGTGTGTAGCTACACATGTCAGGGATAGACTCCGGCAGCGGGAAAAGGCTTCAGCAGCTCCACACTGCCAGAGCCTTTCACTGAAGTGAGGAAAGACTCTGGCAGGAGGGAAATCTCCCTCCCAGAGTCTTTTCTTGCTGCGGGGAAAGGCTCCAGCAATGAGGAGCTGCCTGAGACTCTCTCTCTACTGCCTTCCCAGTACTGGAGTCTTTTCCTGTGGAGGGGAAAGGCTCCAGCTGCAGGAAGGCAGTGTGATAATACACTGCAAAAAATAGCAGTGTAGATGGGAAGTCCAAGCAGAGAGCCATGTAGGCTCATACATACCCACACCCTTCAGGAATGTCTTTACTTGCCTAAGCTGTGCCTCACCAGCTACACTGCTATTTATATCCATGCCACGTACGCACTCCATACGCTGCCGAAAGAAGCGTGCAGTGTAGACGTACCATTAGTGTCTACTATTCTAAACACCCTCACAACCCCTATTTTCCAAATTCTTCAAACATGCATGAGTTAAATGGCAGAGAGCAGTTTTGTCTTCTCAGAGCTTCAATTCCCACCTATGAACAACATTCCTTGGCATTATTCCCCAAGGTAAAATATGAGACGGACATTGACTTTCCTATGCTGAGTACAATGATATCTGTGCATATTTAAAGGGTTGTTGCTACATCTCAGCTAGTGCATCACTAGTTATGTTCCATAAAGAGCAAATTCTTGTCTGATTCAGCTGACACAAACTTCAATGACCTTTTCAAAAGCACCAGCAATTGCGTGCATTCACAATTCTCTGGTGTGCATGCGTACACACCCACCCACCCACCCACCCCTTTGAAACTCTGGCCCCAAGTAATGTTATACAGCTTATGCACACTGTTTGACACTCTCCCAGTAAAAAGTATAAATAATGAATAGCATAGCAAACATAGTATGCAGGTAGGAAAACACCACAAAACTCCCAGCCAATGCATTCTTCAGGGTACCAGAAAAATCAATACATATGAAACTTATGTTTTCTTTAGGCCTCTGCATTTCTGATTTCCAAATTCCTTCAATGCTTGGCAGAACATAAAGGAAATGTGTAGAATTTGCTGACTGAATGAGTTAGCAGAAAGTTTACTTGTGCCACTCCTAGATCATTAAAGAACCAGAAAAACAATAAGGTTTGAAGTGCTAAGGCAATTCTAGAAAACACTTCAAAGAAAATGTAAAGAGATAGGACAATTTGAAGTCTAGTGAATAAAGAAAAAATAAATCTACGGAGTTTCATTTGCCCCTACCAGTTTTTGTAAATGTACAGTGAAATTTTCATATTTAAGATATTAAATTTCACACAGCAACAGTAGAGAAGAAAGACCAACAGAAATGGGGGAAATTGTACACAAACTGCAATCAAATGCATACGGTCAACAATGAAAAATACAATTTATTTTTCTAATCTTTCAGTTACAAGTCAGACCTAAGATGACTGTAAAAGCAGCACTCGAACGCAAGCCCAGAAGTGTGATTTTTAAGTGGCAGGATGTATCTTTTAAACAAACCCCGTAGTTACAATACAGGGAATCCTGTCTTCAAGTTAGTCTGTAAAGCTCCTAAAAGAACGTAAAGTTATGGTGGGATAGACAAGCTGATAAGAGTTTGTCTGAAAGCAACAGCCCCACAGATCTGATTCTAGAACTGTGCTATGCGTCTATTTTCCAGAGTCAATGAGAGTTTTGTGGCTACAGACACTGCCCATTCAGTGTTTTGAGCAGCTACTCAGCATTGTTCTACAGAGTTGGGTTTCTCTCTTCAGTCCCATTGGAAACATGTTTATATCAGTTCATACAATTCTTATAATTAAAAATTGTAACAGCCCCCAGATATTTTAGGTGAGGAGAGCATAATTTCCCAACAGAGACCAATTCTTATACTCGTTCCTATTTGGCAATAGCACAAAATCATGGTTCTCAAAAACCCACCTCACTTGAATTATGCTATGACTTGCAACTTGTGGCCAACTTTCATAACCTAAGATGAGGCAAGAACACCAATCTACTTTTGAGTCTTGCACTTCAGAAAAGACTCTCAGAACACATTTAAAGATAAAGAAATGGCTAGTTCTGTGCTTTATTTGCTAAATCAGATCTGTACATCTGAACTCGATCCTCCACCACTCAACACCAATGCTATTTTGAGGCGCTGAAGAGAGGCAGGCCATTATTTCATTGAAAGACAGATTCAACAAGTGGACAGTGAGTACGTCCTGTTGGAGGATAATGTGCTTATTTCCTGGTGTTGTAATATCTTGGTCCTTCAGGGCATCTTCTCCCACATTTAATCAGAGCAGCATTCACTGCTTCAAAAAGATTTCTCCACTGGGAATAATTTTCATATACATCTTAACACGTATTGTGCCTGACGTGTCTGGCACCTATAGATTCCTGTCCTTGATCCCCTCTAAACCGCTAAGAGTTAGAAGGGAGAGCCATTTTCTTTCATATGGATTCAGTAATTTCCCTGGCAACTTTTATTAGTCAGAAATAATTGAACCAAAAGGATTTCCTGTCACAACTGTGCTGGCCTTTATTATTTGATGTTGTCATGTCTTTCTAGACTGAAAATAAGAACATTCATTTTCCTGGCAACAAATTAACCTCACACACAGCATTTTGTTGTCCACATACTCAACTCACTTTAAAAAAAAAATAGATACATAGGTTTACAATTCTCAGGTTCCAGTAACATTTTTTAAATTAATCAATTTGTGGAAATAAGCAAGAAATGATCAGTTTAGGGAAAGTTACTATGCTGGACTCCACATGGTAGGAACTTTATAACTAGAACTCTACCACTCTGGGTCAGTTTCAACCGTGACACTATTCTTTTTAGCTAATAGCAAACAACTGAGTCAGTCACATCAGTGGTTATAAAGCTTTTTCAATAGGTAACATTTAAAGAAAAAGGTGAAGTTAGCCAAGAGATATTCTCTAGGTTTATTTTTTTTGTTTTTAAAAGAAATCACATAAAATAAGGTAGTTTCTTACCTGTGAAAGGAAAGTGTCATCTATGGACAGTTCTTCAAGTTTAAGTGCAGTCAGAATGATTTCGAGCCCTTTGATATGGTCTATAACATTGGAAGTTAACGTCTGTAGCTCAATTACATAATCCAAAAAACTGGTAAATACAGGAGGCTACGGAAACAGTCAGAAGGGATATTAAAACACACTTTTACACCCATTTTAAATATTTTTCTATATGACACTCAAGTTACTATTTTAAAATAAAATGATTCATTTGTGTCCAAAACCACAAATATGCTATTCAAATATAGCTTAAAAAGTAGTGCTGGCTGGCTGGCTGGCTGGCAAGCATTTCCATTTTGTGAAAAACTGAGCTCTTAGAATTTTGTTTGGATTATGCTATGTAATGAAACTGACTCTATAAGCCCAGTAGTTAAGGCATGTGCCTGGGAGACTTGGGTTTGGGCCTAGATGCCCTAACTACCAGGCTTTCGAGCCAGTCAGTAGCTCAATCACTCCTGTTGGAGCTGTTCCTTTTGGTATAAATAATTAAACATTCACTAGGTCAGAGAGAGTCTGACTCTATTGCCCAATGGGTGGGGCATGCCCCTGGGACGGGGGAAGCCAGGGTCAAATTGTTGCTCAGCCGGATTCCAGCCTGAATCTAAGAAACCTTTTTGATGAAAGTTTCATCAAAACAGATCTGTTTCCATGACAGGTTTCAGTTTAGACCAACTGGCATTTTCCAACGAAAAAAAAATAATTGAAAAATTCCCAACTAGCACTGTTCAAAATTACATTTCATTTAGTAGTTAACGTTTGTAAAACAAACAAACAAAAAACCCCTCTGAAGATGAAAAATATTATGTAACTTGAGAGTATCCTCATTTTAGAAGCCTTTATCTTGAAAAACTTTTTTTGTGGGAACAGTTTGGAAACCACACCAACCTCGGACTTAAGATGGTTATATACAAAATAGAAATCATACTAACTCTATCCAACAGGCTAATGCATACACTCAGCAGTGTTGGTTATGATATATTCCATAATGTTGCATTTTCCCATTAATTTTCAAAAGCACATAAGCGACTTACAAGTCCCACTTTCAAAAGCGGCTTAGGAGAGCCCCTTAAAGGAGGTTACGCTCTTAGTCACTTTTGAAAGTAGGACTTCGGTGCTTTTGAAAATTGCACCCATTCCCTTTAGGGAAGCATCATAAGATTAGAACTCATGTCTCCATTGAATTGCCTACCATAACTACACTGGTTTCTTTTTTTTTCTTTTTCTTTTTCTGTAAGCTCGATTTGAAGGGTCGCAGGACACTATCACAGTAACTTGACACCCATAGGGTGATGGACATTGTCTGAAAGGAAGAAAAACAGATGTACAAGTATGGTACAAATACAATTAATACTACTGGAGCCAATTTTAAGTTCAAAATTACGTCCTTTATTAAAGACTTAAAATACAGTAATTGGGATATAAAGGGAATGGAGAGATGGTTTCCATAAAAAATTGGGATCTGTGCACTTTATTTATTATGCTAAAGTCCTGAGCACAGTCAATTCTAAAATATTTTACCATTATCTTCATCTGCATCTCATTTCCCAAAAATTACACCAGGCCCCTTCAAGAAACAAAACTTTAGGAATCTACACATTCTCCTGTCTTAATTCCAAGTCTGGAAGTCAGGTTTTATTTTTGCATCATCATCATGATTATCTGTATAAAGCTCAATGTGAAAAGGCAGGGTTCAGGGAGCCACAAGGTAGAACTCAGAAGAGAGCAGGATACAGATCTCATCTTGTAATTGGATTGTTGTAAAATAGAACAATTAAATGAGAACAGCAGGAATTTCCAAAGTGACCAAGAACTGCAGTAAATGAAAAATGCTTACCTCAACAAAGAAGACTAAGTTTTCTAAAATGTTAGGATGAGTTTTCAAGATGCCATCTCTGACTTCCATCAAGTCACTTTTACATTTATTGAACAAGTCTGAAAAAAGGAAGACAATTCTTATGTTCAGAATAAGGATCAACACAGAGGCTTACATATTTTTGATGTGGTACACATCTTAATATACTACATGAAGCTACAAAAATACTGATTTCAAACTAGTGTATGACAGGATACAGTTAACTAAGGACTACTTCTAGAGTGGGTACAGTTTTAAATTCATTTCTGAATGAATCTGTAATGCAAAGCCTTTGTCAAAAACTTGGTATACAATTTTTTTCCATTGTCTTGTGCATTTGTAATTACGTGCACCTTTCACATCAGTACAGCTGGAAATGGAGTAGGAAGTCAGATAACCCAACATTTACCAGCAAACAGGTTCACCTGCAGGTTTTTAATAATAAACTGGTTTAAATCAAAACCCAGGCAGTCTGCTTACAGGAAGAAAGATAGCTACAGGTGGAGATGAGGGAGAATATAAGGAAGGTTAAGAACAGTAAAAGGCCAGTTTTACATGACTGTCCTTTTCTGACTGATTAAGAATCTTACTGCATTTTCACAGCATTCTCACTAACGTCAGTGAGAGAAATCCAGCTCTCTTCCACTTACTGATATTCTGGTGGCTTGGTGTTTTTCCTTTTATCATGCAGGCAGTTCTCTTTACATACAGAAGTTTACCTTTAAACTTGCTAAGTGCTTTTACTCAGTTACAGGATTAGTGTTTGTGAAGGGTGCTGGACTGACCGACCTAGGGAACACAGCTCCCTGTTATGCACAAACCTGATACAGCAGAGGCAGTACCAACTTCCCAACCGCATCTCACCAGAATGCCTTAACCTTGACCTGAAGGGAAGGTTCATTCACTCCTTGCTCCCTCTGCTAGGGCTGCCAACAAGGTTGCCAGTTAGTGCCTTGGTGGTGGTTTGTGAGATATACAGACCCCTGTATGCTGGGAACTGGACTCAGTTCTAACCCATTTCACACAATACCAGGCAGCAATCATACGTCGGTAACTTTTGGCCATTACAAATTGACAAATTTCATTAAAATCCTTTTAGGGTTTTCTCTTCCCCTTTAAACAAATGTTAGATTATAACCACACACACAGAAGTGCCAGAGCATTTGGCTTTGCTGCTGTACAGGGTGCTGGGTAGTATAACACAACCATTCTGTGCTTAAAAATGCAATCTAGATCTGTAATGACTGACTTTTCGCTTCAAAACTACCTTAATGTCTGGAATGAGGAAAGAATATTTCTAAACAGCAGATAAATCATTTGGATTATTCTTATACCACCACAACCAACAAACTAGAATTCCAGTGTGTGACTGGTATAAAACCACAACTCTATTTTTGGGGGGGGGGGGGGGGGGGGA